ACAACAATAAAGTCTATTCGTTCAGTTTAAATGCCGAACAGAAGCTAAAATTAATGAATAATAAAATTTCTAACCATGATGAAGGTTGATAAAAAGCCACAATTAAATGCGTTGAAGATAGTTGGATAGGATAAATTTTAGCGGTGGCAGTCAACTCCAAGTGTACTGGGAATGCAACGGCACTGATGAAGACAAGAGAGAGGATCTAAAGCAAATACTGAGGAGTTGAAAACTAGCTTGAACGCTGTCTTAAGTTTACTCTTTACAGCTACCAAAATGCGCACCTAAACTTTTCTACACTTATACACATTTGAGGACGCCCACAAATCTAAAGAAGAGATCATCATCATCTCAACCGCTGTCATTGCCATCGCAATCATTGTCATCATTTAAACCATACAACAGTTTTCAAGTATCCAGTACCCGCTCTTTGATTATTCTATTCTCTGCAAAAAAAGAAAGAACGAAAAATCCAATGTCATTATTTATCAATATTAATATTAATAATGTTATTAATGCTTATTCATTTATTTATTGACTTAGAATTACTGCTACCAGTATTACTCTTACTTATATCATAACTAAAGTTACTGGGATGAACGATTAAGCGTTAAAAACTTTAATTACCAATATTTTCTATCAAAATTTCGACTTTATCTCACAGTTGTTTTTGCGCCATTTAATGGAATCATTTGATGAAGTTGTCTGAAAATGGTACAATTAATTATGCAGTCAAAACCTTTATTCACCTAAATCGTTACTTCTTCTTTGTTATCAAATTTGTAGAACCATTTCGTTCTTTGAAAAAGTGAAGAATTGCGACGTGAAGAATAAGAGAAGAGAGAGAAGAATTTTTGTTGTACTTGGTGAAAATGATGTCTAAGGTTCAAAAGCACCATAACGATGGATCAACCCGATCGAAAAGCAAACACCTTTTCCCACCTCTTTCCTCTCTCTGCTCTACTTCTATCAGTTTTCTGCAAAGTATATGTTATACGCATATGTAAGCTGTTAGTTCAGCGAACTGTTATTGGAACAACCAACGACACTGTTTTACCCATCTGAAACTATCAACGCTGATATATAACAAAAAAGTGATGTCTAAAGTTACTTGAATTTTTTTTTTGAATTTTATGACAAACTTTTAAACGAAATTAAACTGTATCAAATAATACTTGTAATATTTAAGCTTTTTTTGGTATGATTTGTTTGCAAGCATACCTACATATAACTACAGCATTCTCTAAATTCCTAGCAGAAACTTTTCAACAGTCAGGATACAATGAGAAGAAATTTTCCTGAAGAGCAAAAATTGACACTTTTTTTGACTTAATTCTCAACAGTGTCTGAAGTTTAAACCAACACAAATCTTTAGTTAAAATAGTTTTTTGTTTAAAAAATTATTATACTGTCAAAACTCTAAATTTTTTAAACAGCGCTGGGATTGCTAAAACTTTGAGTTGATCTGAACAGTCTACACAATTCAGTTCTAAACTGTTAAAAGTCAATCAAATATTAGAAAACCAGAAAAATTTAAAGCCATTTAACGCTTACAGTTTAATCTACTTACTAGGCAAAAGTTATTCCTTTAATTGCTTTTCGATATTTCTTTCTGTATTTATACTGCTGTGTTTGCTGCTTTTGATGCCTCTTCTGCTGTTCTTGTTTTCGTTCCCAATGTGTTCATGGAAATTCAAAATGACTATCAGCAAATGGTTTTTAACATTACTGATTTACTAAACCAAAAACAGAACAAATTATCAGAAATCAAATTACCACATTTAATATATTTCTTAAATTATTTGTTGGAATATAATAACAGTTGCAGTTCAGAAGCTGTTCTGGCATAGTTCAATTCTTGTAGATTAGCAATAATTTGGTAACAAAAATTAGCTATACCTACGTACGTACACTTGTGCTTTTTCTGCCCTTCATATAAATACTCTAGCAACACAACTAACCAGTCTTCGTATTTTGATTGTTGTTGACAACAACACAGACAACCGCGACAAAGATGACGCAAAGAAAGAACGAACGAAAGAGAGCCCAACTACTAATAATTTGTTAAACTAACCCAGACTAAGCACTGCTGATTCAGAAAAATTCAATTATTCTATCATGACAGTCTAGTTTCATTATTATTGACACAAATAAAGTGCAACACCGAATAAGAATTTAGCATAGAAATTAAATTCATCCACTCTCTGCAAAAAAACTATAGTGTAAAATTCAAAAAAAAGTTAAAGTCAATAATTAATTTTACACATAAAATTCTGCTTGCTTAGTAAACTATAAATGCTATGCAAAAATCAAACTCCACTATTTCTTGAATATTCTAATAAACTACAATAAAGTTACTTTAAAAAATAATAATTGATCCAAAACTCAGTGTGCAATACTTTCTCTTTATAGAACATTGTAGAGTAGAGTAAGAAGACTTCTTACCTTTGACATTTCTGTAATCTTAGCTTGCTTAACTTTATCAAAACATATTTTAGATTACTAAATTATCTTGGCCTAAACACGTCTCTTTTACACAGTTACAAGGACTCATATTCTAATTTACCTTCAGCAGAACAATAAAATTTTAACTACATCGCCTTTGAACTTGTCAACCGTAGACTGTAACAACGAATAATCGCTAAATTAGACATCCAAATCCTGCCTAAATTTATAAGAAATGCTACACACGAAAGGTAAAATACCAGCAGTAAATCTGTGCTCGCAGTTGATCCTAAAACGTCGATGCAAATTATCAATCATGCAAATCTTCTCATCTGGTTTGAAGACGATCTTGAGTTAACAAAAAGTCAGCAAAAATAAAAATCTCAAAATCACTAAAAGAAAAAAAAAGCTCACTTTTTTCTACAAAAAAAATATAAAACTCAAAGTCATTAGCAATTGACGATAATAATAACAGAGTCATCTAATAAAAACAAAAGTGAAAGCAAAAATGAAGCGAAAATTTGCTGAACCAGATTCATAGCCTGACAATGAAAGCATAAAAAAAGTAACATTATATCAGAATCTTTGGTTAAAGTTAAATATAGACGAGAAACTGCACTTTGTTCATGATCCTCTGATACCTCTTAACCGCTTCGTAAAAGTTGAAAAAACTTTGTCGAGCAGTGTCGTTGTTCTCTTTTCATGACAACATCATTACCATCACCACCACCGCAACCACCTACTCAACAAACAAATACTGTTAATTGACGGCGTTTCACTGATACCAATATCTTAACGCAGCAAAAATAATTCTACACTTTTTTTATATTATAAATGTACCCGTGTTTTATGATACGTCTCAAGAAAAGAAATGCCTGAAACTTTATTGTTGAAATTACTAAAATTTGTTTCGAAAAAAATAGATTAATAGTTATAGTTGCTTTCGGCTACGCTACTTTTTAATTGGTCAGTTGCATCACAGCATTTGGAGAATTAATTCATTTTCACTTTTGGGTTGCGTTTAAAATTATCTTTATACATATTTTTCACCATTACATCGTCTCAAACAGTTTGGCTTATAATGTTCAAAAAAAAATTTTTAGTTGTTCCAATTAAAAACTGCGGTCTTCAGCCTTCCTCATCTGCTCAATTAGGACTTCATAAAAAAAAGAAAGCAAAGTTTCTTACTATATAGTTTCATGCACCAAATTATCACAATACATGACAACAATCGAAATTTTCAAACAGTTCAATCGTTTGATGCCCCGTAACTCATCAGTCGTACTCTAATACCTCTTTAAAGTTAAGCTTTCCTTTCTTAGCGTTACTTTGCCTAAAAGTTTGTAGACCTGGACCAAGTTTGGCCAGATACACATCGCAGCGGTCATTTGATAGGCACTTTATAAAACTGTATAAATAAGAATAAAGAATTGAAAAAGATGTGTCAAAGAAAAAAATTTAAAGAAAAAAAAATTAAATTTTTTTTGCCATCTTAGAATCAACTTTAAACATAGCAGTAAACAGTTGGTTTTGTTTATTCGATTCGTGATCAGCCACCTTTTAAGCATCATAAAATGACGATTCGAAGTTTTGAAGGAAGCAAACAGCACCGTTGGATTGACAGATGTCAGCGGCACAGCTGAATTCGGCTCGGCCCCTGTCGCTGGTGACCGGTGGATCAGTGTCCTTTCCTCAGATCGTTGTCCAAGTACCAAACAGGGTCAACGTTGACCGCACAACGAATAGCAGTCATCATTTGGGGAGAAGTTTATATCGTCCATCTAACTTCAATTCAGTTCATATTCATTCAGCTATCAGAAAGAACCCCAGAATTCACTGTTCTTTTTTGCTGCTCATCAAGAGATGGAAAACCGAGTAATTTCTCATGCTTCAATACAATTCCGAAAAGATCAACAGCAAAATAACTTTGCTCAAGGGTAGGTGATTGCGTTTATTCTGAACCACAAACGAATCTAGATTATTGAACAGTTCTTCATCACCGTCTTTTTTGCATCCTGCCTTTTTATCCGTTCTTCTGCAAACCGGTGGCTAATTTTGACAGCTTATTGGGGTGTGTCGTTTCCGACTTGTAGTTTGCTCAAACACTCTTCCACCTCTTTCCCACCCACCAGTCGTTCATTTGGAAATGGGTTACTTCATCATCAGCCTTTTGTTAAAAAAGTTCTTTAAAGTCATTTTAGTAACCAACTATTCCCAAAAGGCATCTTTTTAAGTGTTTAAACCTTATACAACTGCTCTGTACTATCATTTATTATACTGTCGTGTTAACTGCAGAAATTGCTCCAGCAGTTATTTGGCGAACATTTTTTCCTGAAAAATCCTGTCATCGGTTACGAAGACTACTAGTTTTCTTTACCTTATCTCACCTCTAATTTAGCCGGCTAAACAAATTGTTCATCTTCAAAACTTTTTTGCTTGTAAAAGTTTTGTTATGAACAGCAAAAGTACGATTTTCTAAATTTTGTTATCTAAATTTTTTGAACCTTTCACCTACAAGCATCAATATGTAATTTTATTACCGCTCAACTGCTAACCAACCCGTTAGCGAAATCCTTTGCTGTGATGTCTGTAAATTCCAGTTCAACTGTAAATACAAAAAGCTACGGGACTATACGAAATGTAAACAGCAATCGCAAATCTGTTTCTCTAGCCATTTTTTCGCTCTATTACTATCAAAATTTTGCTCTTGAAGAAGTAATATCTGGCGCTTGCAGAGGTCTCAACTAAAATAATCTTTAAGTAGTTGCCCAAAGTACCATGCAAAAAAAAAGGTCAGATTACCTCGGTTTAAAATTAGGAAATTATCTTCGACAAGAAATAAAACAGGCCAATCGTAATAAACCATCTTCTCTCTTTTGATTGTTCATTGCCAGCTATAATGAAGAACCCCACTTTTAAATATGTTTTGAGCCAAATATCAGGTTTTAAGCAGTCCTTTTTGCCTTTTTATCAACAGCAAAAAGTTATTTTGATTTTTGCATTGTAAAATCAATTTTTTTTTTTAAAGAAAACTGTTCAGTTGGGCAAGAAATGCACCGTTTCGGATGCCTGACCGCTCAATTCCGGTGCAGAGGAACAGCCGTGAAGAAGCAGAGAATGATACCATGCAACGAGATCAAAGCAGAAAGTTCCCTTCCCCACAGCACCAGAGTTACTCGGTTGAGGGACACCATAACGTTGTTCAGCTACAGTATAATCAAAAGCATCCAAATATGCGGCAGCTTGCACGTCAAGAATTTCAACTTGAACCAGACGGGCATGATCAAGCACAGTCGGCTGAAACAAACACTAAAAACTTGAGCGACAGCCCTACACTGGATTACACTGGACATGAGTATTCAGATCAAAAATATAGCCCCGCAAACTACGCTGAATACGTCAAAGAGGATTACACTTTCAATAATCAAAATGTGTACAACGCCGCTAACTTTGATGACAGAAAAGAATTTGGAAGAAATCACTCGGCTGTAATACGAGTTGGAGATCCAAGCGACGTCGAAAGTGCTGACGAAAATTATCAACAAAATACTGCAAAAACTGAGAATAAAAGATGCGTAACCACTAAACAACCGAAAAGGAAAACGGCCGAAGAGGAACAACGAAAGGTTGTCAATGCAAAATACGCTCATACAAATGGGCAACTGTATAAAAATCATACTTTGGCTGTACCAACTCGTTACGATTCTTCCGTCACCTGTAACGCAAATGTTAATCATATACAGCTGTCGTCATATAAAAATGTAAACACATTACCAATCAACAGTAGCCAAAAACAGATTCAAAAGATTTCTCGAGAATCTACGAAAGAATCATCAGAACAGAAAGAATACGTTAACAGAAACACAGTTTTTACCGACGAATTTACAGACGAACAGCAGAAGGGACTTATCAGAATAGATGCAGCCAGTGCAGAAAATACTCTGCGAATTAACAAACGATCTAATAACAGTGAGGATATAACCTTTACAAATACAAAATCACAAGCTCAGCGAAATATTCAACTGCAAAATGCTCCTGAAGTTAGTAAAGTGCTTCTGCTGATTAAATACCAGCAAAAGTTTTTACACCTTTTCATCCTCATTTACTTTGGTAAGCAACTGAATGAAAACAAACCTGCTGCTATTCCTTTTTTTCTGTTGTGTAAAATAGTTTTTGTAGGTTATACAACAATCGCCACAGTATAATAGCCATCACAAACAGATGTTTGGTAACGTGAAAAATCAACAGCGTTCCGTAACAGCTATACAAACGCAAATAACAACAAATCCGTTTGCAAAAAAAAAGTGTGAAAAGGATGAACGTGAAGGTCAAGTTGCTGAAGATAACCGCGCAGGATCAGTACAGAGTGCAGTGGCCAAATTTAATAGTAAGGTACAACAAAGCTGGGGTTCTCAGGTGTCGTACGTGAAGAAAGAGGTTGACTGTTTAAAGCTTTATTTTTTCTGGAAAACCAACTTTTTTCATACTAATTCAATAATTTGTCGTTTAAACTTTAGAAGTTTCAAAATTTAAATGCTGAAGAAATGAAGCAAAAAGAATCGAAATGTGGTGATGTTCAAAGCACTAAGGAGGAAGAAGTGAGAACACTGTTGCTACAAAAAAATCATGACGATTGTTACGAAGGTGTGCAGGAACCCATAGAATACCAACAAAAACAGCGTGGAGACACCATTCAGCAGAACCCTGCGGCTGTAAAAAGAACTGGTATCGCCACTTTTTTCTTTACTAAATACCTCAATAACAACGTTTGCTTTTGCTCTTCAAAATTAAGTCTCCCATTAAATTACACCCTTCTTTTCTAGGTTAACAGAGAACAATAAAAATACATAGATCCACTCCTCATAATTAGTCATTACTGAACTGCAAGAAATATCATCTTTTTTACATTTCCTGAAAGCATAAAAACAGTGATTCAGACAATAAATTCAACTACTTAAAACTTAAGATGTAACTTGAACTCCTTTTACGATTTATTGTAACTAGATTACTTTAAAGGAAGTAAGGCTCCTTCAGTGACAAATACGATAAATTCTGACTTTGATATGACACCAAATGGCGTAACTACGGCAAGTGTTGAATGCAGTAAGGTGCAAGTGATTCATTCTAAAATTTCCCCTGTGTCAACAGATTCCGCGCTTTCAAGTGATGACGCATTCCCAAATCCACCAAATTCAGTAAACGGTGTCTCGCTTCATCTGAAGGACAATAATAAAAAAAATTTTGATGCTGAAGCTCAACTTCTACTTTGCTATATTAAAAGCCATCGTTCCGTGTTAAATTATCTGGGTATTGGGCTAGCAGACTCATTGTGGATAAAAGTTGACGAGATGCCGAATTACAAAGTGGAACTTAGAATTGTTGACGAGAACAAAGAAAAGATGAAGGATACAGTACGTGAAAAAATCTTACACAGGAAGAGTTCTAATTCTAAAAGTCCAAAACAGAGGCCGACCAAAAAAGCTAAAGAAATTTCAAAAGTAAAAATACAGACAGCTACCCCACAGGAACCAAGCTTGACAGCTAACAATGTTCTTATAAAAGCGCCAAGAAAAATGCAGTATCGACAGCCACGTGACGATTCTAGTGACGAAGAACATGTAAGGGCAGCAGAAGAAGAACCTCGCGGCACACTTAACTGTGTTTCAGAAGACGATCAACAAATTATTCAAGATTTTGAAGACGTCAGCAAGCAGGTAATTGTAACCTTGTCTTTCTCGCCCTTTCATTCCCTCTCAGCCTATATAAAGGCAATTATAAAAGGTGAAAATTTTTGTTTGAAAGCACAAATATTCTGTTACACTTTTTAAACAGAACTTAACATTTATCTAGCAAATCCGTAAGTGTCAAAGGTATGATAGCCAGTTTCAGATGAATTCATCACGACCAACATCGAATTCGACAATTTCGAACGAACCAAGGCGACAGTCCGCTGAATGCGACGACGATTTTATAGAAGATAAGACTGAAAATGACTTCGACGATATGTGCGAGGAAGAAATGCAAAAAAATAAAGAACCAACACTTGTACCCCGAGACCTCGAGAAGAGGTATACAACACAGCCTTTAGATTACGATGAAGGTATTAAAAGCGAGTCAAGGTGGACATTTTTAAAAAAGTAAAAAAACATTTTGCCAGCTTCCCTACCCGTCCCTATCCTCTCTTTTCCATTCTTTCATCTGACAGAAGAAGTAATATTTCTGTAAATCTTCCATAACTTTTCTTCAACAAAAATTTTAGTGTGGCCGTTTCTGCGAAAGTATTTGACAACCCATATCACTGTCATTCCATTGGAAAAACAAGGAAAAGTGTTAAAATTAAGACAGAAGGAATTCATTTTGGGAAATTTAAGAACTGAAAAAAGTCTTTAAAAGTGTAACTTTTGCTTGAAAAATTGTTGATACCTCTCCAATATTTTCTTTTTTGGCCTATCGGGTATTAAAGATTCGCAAACTGCTGAAACAAAGCTGTGATACTAAACGTCGACCAGGAATTCGAGCAAAACGAGTTGTTAGGCATGTATGACTGCCTCTGAAACTATACTTTGCTAGGTGTAAGAAGAATGCTCAATTTTAAAATTCTCCTGAAGTTTTTTGAAACAGTAACGTGGAGCAATGCATCAAGCTTTTTCACATGAATAAAAACTATAAACTTCCTTTACAATAAGAAGAAGCTTGTCCTATACGCAAAATTTCTTGACTTTCCTCTCGGGTCTTCCACCTGTTTTTCAAGACTTACCACAGCACCTATTCTTTGAAATTACCAAAATAAAATTTGTCATTGACAGAACGTCGAAGTTTTAGGAGTGGGCGATTTATGAAAAAGTCTGCTGCGGCACTAATCGCACGTAAACAGACTAGTGCTGTAAATTCACCAGCTCCTGTACAGAAAGGGGTTCATAAGCGATCTTTGACTACCGATCCACAGCGCAGTCTCACGGTTAGTAATGCAAACGACGTTTTACGCTAGCTAACACCAGGATAGCCCAAATTACATACAAAAAACAATTTGAAATTATTGTATAATGATAAAATTTGTCTTCTTCAGTTTTATCGACTTAACAAGTGCAAACAACATCCACAGTGGAATTTAACAAAAATTTTTCTTTTTAGAGGGAACAAAAAACTGAATCACGTATAGCAGCAGAAATACGGAACCTGAAAGAACGTGAAGAGGAACTCCGTAGAAGTCGTTCGGAACTGGGACTTCCATCCTTGGAAGATATTGTTGATACGTGGAAGTTAGTTTTAAAGTTTTTTCACAGAGAAATAGCCCTTTTATGTTTTCTACATTGTCAGTTACAAGACAAAGATTCTCTATTACTTTTAGAATTAGTTTCCCAATAAACGAATAAATAAATAAATTTCTCCTCGAAAAGTATAAAGTTTTGAGTATTAATAGATCAAAATATTAATATTTTTGACTTCCTAGAATTTGCTGCCAAAAAATTGCTACTTTAAAGTCAAGTAATTTTTTGACAATTTAAGACGAATCTTGAGCCTGAAATATTTGCAAAATAACAATTTTTAACGGAATGAGTAAGCGTTCTTAACTGTTATCTTTAAAATCGTCGTCTGTAATTTGCTGTCCTGTGCTAGACCTCCGTTAACGTTTTAAAATTTGTTCTACATTTTATTAGAACAATCAGTTACAATAGGTGCGGTACGCAGGTCGAGAAAGCACAACTCAGTGAATTACCACCATTGAGAAGTGCACGGTCTTACGACCATCTTCATGCTGCATTAGCAGACGAATCACGGTGCAACACAGAGCCGAGGGTTTCAAAAAGCGAATCTTTTCACCATCTACAGGTACCGTAAACTTACTCACCAGTTAAAAGACATACATTGCACGTTTAACCCCTGCAAAAATACTCAAGAATGTATTATGCATTGAGT